TCCCTGCTCTTGCCCACCTCTTTTTCCGCCGCCCCTTTGCCCTTTATCTGGCGTTTCATAGTCTCCATGTCTATCGCCATCCTTTGTATCAATTCTTCTTGCTCCCTTACCCGATCTTCTAGAACTTGAGGATCCAACCTTCACCTCTGCCTTTCAGGGCTTTGGGAGCGACGAGGACTGGAGCCCCGTCTTTCACAGGTATCCCTCCACGGGTTCCGTCGTTGGGGATCTAACTCTGCCATGGACGGGATAAAAGGTAAGCCTTCGCACCTTTCGCCCCCCTCTGGGGTTTGCCCACCAATGGCAGACTGTGGCAAGTCTTCATTGTGCGCCATGGAAATCAGTTGAAAGAAAACTTAATCAAGAGGTTCGTTCTTTGTGATTGCAATTCCCACAGACGGCGCCAATTGTACGAGCACAGAAATAATCTTCTTGTATAATCCTGTTGATCAAGTTTGCACTCTTCCAAACAACGTTGTTTTGCCACCTGAAAACACAAATGTGAGCTAACCGGCAGGTGTGTTCCGGAAACCCCTCCGATGCCTAAGTCAGCAACTAGACAATAGACAATAGACAATAAGCTCCGTGTATTCTAGAGTATGAATTGGGATACCTGTAGATAGGTCCTGCTATGAGGTTTTATAGATTCTGCCGGCCCAATCCTAGGAGGATTCCAACTCTCCTTATAAGAGTCCTCATAGGAATCACACAACCTACTCACTACTCCTAGGAATTACATACCCTACTACATACCCTACTCACTTGGTTGGTAGCGAGTAGGTTGTGTGATTCCTAGGAAGACTCTGCTAAGGAAAGTAAAATCCTACTAGGATTGTGCAAACCGGCTCACTTGGTTGGTAGTGAGTACGGTATGTAATTCCTAAGAGGACTGTGCTAAGGAGAGTAGAGTCCTACTAGGATTGTGCAAACCATCTTACTTTATTGGTAGTGAGTAGGGTGTGTGATTCCTAGGAAGACTCTTATAAGGAGAGTTGGAATCCTACTAAGATTGGGCCGGGCAGAATCTATAAAAGCTCATAGCAGGACCTATGTACAGGTATCCCAATTCTTACTCTAGAATACACAGAGCTTATTGTCTATTGTCTAGTTGCTGACTTAGGCATCAGAGGGGTTTCCGGCACACACCCGTCAGTTAGCTCACGTTTATGTTTTCAGGTGGCAAAGCAATGTTGTTTGGAACAGTGCAAACTTGATCAACAGGATTATACTAGAAGATTATTTATGTGCTCGTACACTTACTAAAATTTAAGTACTGGTTTTAATCATATTTTTTGATATGCAATAGTTGTATTGTTATAACGGTTGAGATGCTATGGTAATAGTGGTGGTGGTTGTGGTGGTGGTGTGAGATAGGAAAGAGTTGGTCACAATGGTAGAGGTAGTAGTGGAGTGATGGTGATGGCCGTGACTATGTGGTGATGGAGTAACAGTGGTAAGTTGGTAGTAGTAATGTTGACGTGACGATGGAGGTAAAAAAGTGGTGATAGTAGTGGAAGTTATAGTGGAGAGATAGTAGTTATGACAATGATGGAGGTAAAAGGGTGGTGACAATTGTGGTAGTAGAAGTTATAGTGAAGAGATAGTAGTTATAACAATGTTGTTGTAATAATAGAGGAAATTTCTATAATCTTTGTACTTTAGTACCGGTAAAGGTGGTGGTACAACAACAGTGATAACTGTTGTACCACATCACTTTCACCATCACAACCAACTAGTTAGTTATGGTGGTGGAGGTGAAAGAGAGAATGATTGTGATAGTTGGGTTAACAACATTGATGGGAGAACAATAGTACATCTCAATGTTGACATAATCATAAGATATTAAAAATTAAATATTTAGCATTCAAAATTAAGTTAAAAATCAGTAACATAAAACTTAAACTTATTTTTTAGCGGTGCTTAAAATTTTGAGTAATACTTATTATAGTTACCAAACAAATTATTCTCACCGCATATATTTGGTTTGTGTTGAATTGAATTTATAAATGTACTACTATTATAAAAGTGTGAAGAGTCTATTTTTTTTACTTTTTTTAAATACTAATTTTATCCTTCTCAAATCTTTTATATTTTCTAAAAATCATAAAGAGTCCTATATAAATCAACTATCTCTTTATTTTTGGAGTTGAACACTCAAAAAATATATACCTGCTTCCAAAAGTCTTATATAAATATAAACAAACCATCTTCCTTCTAATCCACACACACAAAAAAAAACAAAAAAAAAAAAAAAAAAAAACCCGTCATTTCCCTATTTTTTACATTGATGATGATTGAAGAACAAAAAATAATTACTATTTCTTATTTCTTTTATCTGCATCTAAATTGATATACATAATATTTACAATTGTCAATCATAAATCAAATCATTGTGAATAATTTTAGTTGAATCTTAAAGTTATATGCATTTGTTTGAATCTAGACAGATGAAAGCGCATGCATTTTTAAAACAGCCATTTGTGCTGCATGTCAAAATTTTGAAGATTATTTTCATGCACTTTCTTTTTGTTTAAATTATATTTTATGAACTGTAATACTTTACATGATACTTTAATAACTAATATATGATGTCAAAATTCTCAACAAGGACCACTTTTGTTGGATTTATTTTTTAAATATGTTTTTCAATTTTTGATTTTTCATATTTTCTCAATTTTGATGATTAAAGATATTGCAATTTTATTATATTTTATATTTAAAATATACTTTTACATGAAAATTTAATATCTAATAATCTAAATAGAATTAAAAAGTAAAATATTGGTTAAAAAATATATAAATTCAAACATGTACTGATTCTTTATTATTATATATTCTTTTGTTATTATTATTATTATTATTATTTAATATTAATAAAAAAATCCAAAAAAATGCACAACAATTATTTTCTAAGTATATTTAGATTAATTAAATATAAATCTAAAAGTAAAATTATAAAATAAAAAAGTATTAAATTAAGTGAATCTAAAGAAAAAATAAAAGGGTTATTAAAAAAAAAAAGTGTCAAAGACAAAAAAAAAAAAACATGAAAACTAAAAAATTCAAAACAAAAATTTGAAAAAACAAATCAATGCTAACACTATAAATTTCTCTCTCTTTTTTTTTTCTTTTTTTTTTTAACCTTTCTTCACTAATATTTAATTTTACACAAATAATTCACAAATTCCTTTCAATTTTTATATGAATTTGATAATCTAATTAAAAAATAGTACATACCCACAAAAATGTAATACTAAACATGTACATTATGACCAACTATTTAATTATAAATAATTAACTTCTCATTGTTACCTATATTATATTGTTACAAAAAATTTTACATATTACTTTTGTGATATCTTATATATGTCAATGTCTACATATATAAATATATAAAAACAAATAAAAATATATATTTATATATGTTACTGTATTCATATATTGTCAATCTATAATGCTATATTACCATCGGATGCTTTAATTTTCTACCATGTATCGCTTTAGTAATATAATTATATTTGTTGAGAAAAACTGCAAAATTGAGTATTGTTCTCTTATCAACTTATGTTCAATACATATATACATACATTTCATACAAACAAATGTTCACAACAAACACTTTCAATAACAAATTAAAACTTTGCAAAACATCTCAATCACAAAAATAATTGTACTTTTTTTCCTCACAGAAAAATTCACATTATTGAGGGAAAATGAAGTTTAAAATTCATAATAATATGATAGTCTCAAAACTTTTATTCATCAAAATATTTTTTATTACAATGAATTATAATAGTAAGCAAGAAGAGAAACAAGAAAACGATGAAACAAAAACTACAGAAAATCTATTGCAACTTACTCTCCAAACAAAACTCACATTATTGCAACAAATCAATGATACATAAAGTAATTATATCATATAAAAAGTTTTGATAAATTTTTGTTTTATGTTGAATACTTATAGATGTCATAATAACTTATGTAAATTGACAGTTTTATAATGTGACCCTGCAAATACTTATTAGTGTAGATGTATAAATATCGTAAAAATAATTATAAAATTCCTATATCGATCGAAATATTAAGCTAATATCATTCCATTTTCTTTTATAAAAAAAAAAAATATTCCACATTTTTTACATAAATGAAAATACACTAATGACTAACGTTATATTTTTCACATACAAGATATTCGTGACACAAAAAACGAGACTCAACTCTTGATATATAAAAATATATTACATACTAATATTAATACATTCTTACACCAATATTATGCAAATAATATGCACTAATAGATTCAATAAATTTGTATTATGAGATAAACTATTAAATAAAATTGTGTAATAATACAATTAATATCATACCTTCAATTGTATTACAAGTATGAATTATGAAAAATTGAAATGAGAAGTTAATAAAAAAATATTTGTATAATATTATATATTTAAAGAACTTTTTTATTCTTTATTGTTTAAGATAAAATTATGATCTCAACAATCAAACTATAATTTAATGTTTATATTCATAAAATTTCTTATTATTTAAATGTGTTCATCATTTCTTATTTAGTTGTATTTTGAATACAAATCAATTTACTCAAACAAGTCTCTATATTTTATATACAAATCACATATCAATTTAAGATAAACGAATAGTTATAATATTAACCGTTGATAAAAAAAGACTACATGCTACTTGCAACACGCACGTGCTCAACCACTATTGTATTGAAGTGACAACTAAACAAATGAGCCAGGGAATGTCCAAGGTTGAAACAGCAATGGTTCAACACGCTTGGCATCTCTATAACACGCTTTTCACTGCCTGGCCAATACCTTCTGTTCTAAATTAACTTGAATAAGTCAACAACATCAGATTCATAGTTTAAAAAAATGAATCAACAGACATACAAAAATAAGAAATAAACAATAGGTAGAAACAGTTTTAAAGCAAGCTATAAAAATTCTTGCAATGTAACCAACTTAAAGATAGTTAAATAATACTTCAACAGCAGCAACAGCAAGCATATACTGAAATTTCACCAATTACATCATATAAATATATACACAAAATATACAAAAAAATAACAATAATATTTGAAAGGAAACTTCTAAACAAAATGTAATGCAGTCTTTAAACTCTGTATGTCGTATGTGTTTGTTGAGCATCCATGTCAGGTAACCCATGCTATGCAAGTTGCAGTTGCAAATCTTGTAAACGGTCATATATATTAATATACACAAAATGAATATGCAATGACCATATAAATATAAAGACAAAATGAGTTTTTTGAGATAATTGGAATAACCATCACAGACAAATGAAAATGCCACTCGGTTGGATCAGCAAAGAGAAGCATCAAGTTTGCTTAGCAAGGGAACCTTCTTGTCCAAGAACTCCACGTATCTTTCTTTTGTCTTCTTGAACTTTTTCAAGACTTTCTCAACGATTTTAGTGTCTTTCTCTATTTCATCGTTTACCTCTTTTAACTCAAACTTTGTTTCTTCAATCTGCTTCACGATTTCCGGGCTCTGCTGTGAGAAATGTGTTTGAGTTCCAGGTACAATAACTGGAAAACAAATCTCGGATTCCCTAAATAAAGTAAAAATAAAAAGACCAAAATAAGTGGTCAAGTTTAGAGGGAAAAGGCCATAATCAAGATATTATGCTGAAGGTCATAATGAAGTTTCGATGCAAAATTTCTCGAAAGACACCCGTGAACTAATTAAAAAAACTAAAGACCTCTACTGAAATTCAGGAAAGGCATTTCAATATGTTGTATAAGTGTCTAACTGGCTATTTCCATCATCAAAAAGAAAAAAAAAAAAAAAAAAATGATAAAGAGAGAAGTCTCTTGAAAAGCATGCTATGTCTGAGATTTAATTTAGAAGTCCAATTTTTGAAATAAAATCATGCATAGAAGTGCGCGCACGGGCACGCGCACACACAGCATATTTATCAAATGTAATGTACATACCAATGTCCAAGAGACAGAACCCCATTTCCTTTCATGATCCCACCATCCAGGGAGACTGCACCATGTTTTATGCAGGCCTTTGCCATTTTCATGTTTTCCCTAGTTTCATAAACTTGAAGGTTGCCAAAGAGACAATAGAATAAAGTCTCTCGAAGACCATGGCCCGTATTTGTTCTGATGTGCAAATGACGGGCATCTAGGCCTACCATATTAACTGCATACCCTAAATAACCTGACGGAGTATTTCCATTTGGTAAGGTAGGATCTGGCAATGCAAGCTTCCTCTCAGGATCATCGCCCAACTCTCCCGTGTAAGGCCTGCAAAACAACTATCATAGTTAAATCCTTAGTTACAGCATAATTTCTCTTCGAATATTATCTAATTCACTCCCTACACATGTCTAGTTTTTCCTTTCAGACAATACTTTTCAATTAAACAATTTAACTACACCAAAACTTTAGCATTCTGTGAAAAAAGTATTGACATGTACAAGAATAATGCACGACTAATTACTACTGACATTTCAGAACTGCAATTGAGACGCTCTATGTACCTTATATCCTCAAGGCATATAACAAGATAACGGCCTTTAATAGATTGTCCTTGTTTAGTTGCTATTGCATGAAGAGCACATGCATGATTCACATTTCCACTACGTTCATACTTCTCTAGTGCATGTGCAGATGCATAGGATTTACATACAATTGCCAGCATCAGATCCTCACCCAGATACTCAGTTAATATCCTGCATATAAAACAAGTATAGAACATTATATTCCATGCTACGGTGAATTCAAGTGTGCACAAAGCACAAACACTGTTGAATGGTAAACAACCTGCTAAGCTCTTTGGTTTTAACTGTTCCAAGAAAAGCAACAATGCCCAGTATCTTCGCAATGAAGTTGTTCTGTTGCCCTCGCAGTGGGATTTCTCTAAAGAGTCTGCAGACAACAGCGGCTGCAGAGTCTGTCTTGCTTTCAATCAGTTCCATTATTGCCTCTTTCCCAGACAAATTGGCTGAATAGTTGAGCAAATTAGTTTCCAAGGAAGTTGTTGATTAATGAGTTAACAACAGCACAACTGTAAAAATTCTAAACAACAGGGGAGCCTATATTTCCTGCAGTTTCTTTGTCAGCACTCTAGGATTGATATGAATTTTATTTTTAAAACAAAAATAGTAACCTCTATGAACTACAAGGACAAAAAGCAATTGTAGGAGCTCAATTACTGTGTTATAATCTATTTTGTATATGTTTTCTGACGTCAAAATATTAACTCCAATTTGATTAGAGGTGTGATTGAAAGTGCATGCCATAATATGGCATACAAGGACTCATGGATATCGAAAACATGCAATCTCAGGGTGCCCATACAATTGAAAGTATCTTGGCTAATTACATTAAATCCATAGAAAATAGTAAAAAAAAATCTGATCATCTAGGTTTGAAATGTCCAAATTGTTGTGAAAGATCCATTAATTGTTTCCTTACTAATATGTATTTGATTAAACTACATAAGGTATTAAGTACAAATAAACACCATCTCAGGAGGTCATGTATAGGTGTCCGACACGTGTTGGTCATGGACACACACTGGACATGCTGGGACACATTGTGAACACGTTGATACGCGTTAATACGCGTTACGAATACACGGAGAACACTCTAGGGACATGCTAAGGACTATTGATTTTCAAAAAAAATTAAAATTTTTAGTTCTTTTTATTAAAATTGCATACCTAAGGTTGATAAATTTGATAAAATTAAATGACATAAAATACAGATTAAATATTTAAAAATATGACATAATAAATATATAAAATTATATATTTTGTACGTGTCCCTAACATGTCGTGTCTTACTTTTTTGAAAATTTGCATGTCCGCATATCCATATTATGTCACGTATCCATGCTTCTTAGCAAGAAGTTATGTGGTGGATAACCCTCACCATAATGCTACTGCACATGCACTTGCATCCATAGACAAAAGAATTAGAACTGTAGCATGCAATGTCATAGGAAAAGTCACTCATCTGCTTTTATTTTTTTGTGTCCAACTAGTGCAACTATGAACTAAAATTGTGGGCACATCTGGATTTCATGCAGAAGTTGATCTGTCTATATTGTTCCACTGATAACTTCTCATACATAGCGTTGTTCAAAAACCCGTGAGACCCAAGTCAACAGACCAAACCAAACTGATCCGAACAGTCGCGGATGGTTTCATTCAACTTCATGGTCAAAAGCGGTTCCAAGGTGTTTAAAAAATTCAATGATACCGGTCATTGGCTTTCAGAAAGAAAAAAAGAAAAGAAAAGAAAAAAAGAATTCTAAAACCGACTAACAAACCGACCGTATATCACTCAAAATACACATGGCATATGGTGATAGGACACTAAAGATTACACCCTATCATCTTTTATTTGTAGCATTATGTGATTGAATGTTACACATCTCTTATCTTACAAATTGTCTCACCAGCTCCTATTCTCTCTTTTTTCACAGGTACAACACAATCATATCAGATATTCCCGCGAACCAAAAAAACATCTATCACTTTCTACACTCTTTATCTCTCTGCGCACAGTTCAACTCCGTTTCTTTACCTCCTCACAGGTTCTCTCTCTCCCCCCTCTCCTCTTTATCATAATTTGTACTTTTATCTCTCTCTCTTTGTCTGTCTCTCTCTCAGAGTGCCTCACTCTTTCACCTCCATCCCTCATGGTCTGCACCTCCTCTCTCTCTGAAATAGTGGCGGCAACTATGGCTTGAGATTGTGGTGACAGCAACTGCGACGTGTGAGATTGATGACATTGAGATCGTGGGGATGTTGATGTCGATGAGGGTTGCTCTACTTCACTCCATACCCTCTCCCTCAATGAAAACCCTTTTCTCTTCCTCATCCCCTCCCCTGAAACCCCTTTCCTCAACCCCTCTGCTTTTGAGATCTAGTGTTGTTGATGTTGTTTGGGGGAATTGATCTTTGTTATAGAACCGACCGAACACCGACCAATGTTTCTACCACCCAAAACAAGCGGCTTCAAACCATTGTTCAGTCGACATTGGATGCACCGTTTTTCAAACCAACTACTTCGGTTCGGGTGTCGATGACAGGAAAAACCAACCCAATCCAACCCATGAACAACCCTATCACACATCTATCATCTCAAAAAGGGCCATCAAAAGTGGTCTCTGTTTTCTTTAGAGGGGTTAAGAAGATCAAATCGATGATCATACGATCCTACAAATAAATTTAAAACATGCATAATAAATATATGATACTTTTAGAGAATACCAAGATTAGGGAATAATTGTGATATCATCTCCTTTTTATATTAGTGAAGATTAATAATTACAAGGGAGTCCTAAGGCATAGAATAATTACAATCAAATAATAACCCAACTAATAATTCTAACACTCCCTCTCAAGCTATTGCAAAGATATCTCTTATGCCCAGCTTGCCTAAGATATCATGCAATGGCTTACTCTCAACTCCCTTGGTGAGGATGTTAGCGAGTTGTTTACCAGACTGCACAAATGGAGTACATATTGTGTCACTAGTGAATTTCTTCTTAATGAAGTGGCAATCAATCTCAACATGCTTTGTCCTGTAATGTGAACCGGATTGTGAGCGATGTTGATGGCGGTCTTATTATCACAGTATAACCGCATGGAGTCTGTCTGATCAATACCTAGATCACTTAACAATAACTTGATCCATAAGAGCTTACACATCCCTTGTGCCATAACTCTAAAGTCAGCTTCTGCACTTGACTTGACAACCACATTCTGTTTCTTATTCCTCCAAGTAACTAGGTTGCCTCCAACAAAGGTGCAATACGCTAAAATCGATCTCTTATCAGTTACTAATCCAGCCAAGTCAACATTTTGTATAGGCTTCCATACAAAGATGATCATGCTTTGAAAAATAAAGACCCTTACTAGGAGCAGACTTCAAGTACTTCAAAATTCTTATGATAGCCTCGATGTGAATCTGATGAGGATCATGCATAAACTGACTAACCACACTGAAAGCAACATCAATATCAGGACGAGAGTGAGATAGGTAGATAAGCTTACCCACTAATCGCTGATAGCTCCCCCTATTAACAGCTCCTCCTCCTTCATTATCTCCCAATTTCTAATTGGATTCTAGTGGAGTATCATAGGCTTTGCAGCCAAGCATCCTAGTTTCCTTCAACAAGTCAAGCACATACTTCATGTGTGAGATAAATATCTCATCCTTGGAGCGAGTAACTTCAATTTCCAAAAAATACTTCAGGCTTCCCAAGTCTTTGATTTCAAAGTCACTTGCTAAATATTTCTTCAATAGAGGGATTTCCTTACTATCATCACCTGTAAAAACTATGCCATCCGCATAAACAATAAGCACTGTAATCTTACCACGAGATAAATGTTTTACAAACAAGTTATGATCTGCCTGACTCTATTTGAAGCCATATGTAAACTTAGCCTGAGTGAATCTCTCAAACCAAGCCCTTGGAGACCGTCTAAGACCATATAAGGACTTCATCAGTCGGCATACTTTACCCTCTGTCAGATGATCCTTAAAACCAGGAGGAATATCCATATATACCTCTTCTTCTAGGTCACCATCGAGAAATGAATTCTTTACATCAAACTGATGGAGTGACCAATCTAGATTAACTGTTAGAGAGTACTCTGACTGAATTCATCTTAGCCACGGGTGCAAAAGTCTCCTAATAGTCAACGCCTATGAAGCATGGATACGGCAAAATCAGTGCCGTGGCAGTGTCGGACACGGAGACATGCCGGGGACACACAGGGGACACGTACGGAACACGCCAGTTGGCGTGTCCCTTTAATTTAAATTTTTTTTTTTTTTGGTATGGGACACACCGGGGACACAACGAGGACACGCGTGTTCAGATCTGGACACGGCATGCGACACAGCGAGAAGAGAGAGACAGAGGAGAGAGAGTGTGAAGGAAGAAAGTGAAAAGACAAACCTTCGACTCCAGTCGTCGAACATCCAGTTGACTCGAATCATTGAACCATCGATCTCGTCTCGCTCGCGTCGTCTTCTCTCTCTCTCACCGTCTCTGTCCCTTCGCTTTCTTTCTTATCTCTTATATATATATATATATATATACATATAAGTATATATAAGATAATTTTAATAAAATCATATTATTTATTATAAGCATATATAACATAATATATACTACTTAATCACGTATATTAAATAAGATAAAATAAAAATTACCAAAAACACATTATTTAAAAAAGGAAATAAATAAATAAAATAATTAACGTATATTAAAATAAAAATATGTATTAAAAAAAAATTGCCTTCTCCCATACCCGTGTCCGTGTCCCCAATTTCTAAAAATTGCTGTGTCCCGTGTCTGAGTCTGTTTCCGTGTCCGTATCTCCACTTCATAGGTCAACGCCATATGTCTAAGTAAACCATTTTGCCACAAGTCTAACCTTGTAACGCTCAATAGAACCATCCACTTTGTGTTTCACAATATACACCCATTTGCATCCCACAAGTCGTTTACCCTTAGGTAACTCAGTCAATTCCCAAGTGTCATTCTTCCTAAATGCTTTCATTTCCTTAATCATAGCAAGTGTCCACTTAGAGGTAGCAAGAGCATCATGAAAACAGTTAGAAATGCTAACAAAGGAAATATTTTACACAAAAGGTCTATATGAGGATGACAAATGAGAGCAGGACACAAAATTTGAGATAGGATGTTGAGTACAAGATTTCACCCCCCTTTCTCTTGGCAATAGGAACATCAAGATCAATAGAAGTATCAAGATTGGTGGACTCAAGAGATTCAAAGTTACTTAGACTCTCATTAGAAGCAGCAGATGGCGGTGGATGAGCAGAAGTGGTCTCCTATATCTAGTTAACTTTCTATTTGTCTTTGTCCCTGACATAAACTTGCCCTTGCCTATCCTTGATGGCATTGGGTTCTGTAGTCCCAGTAAGAGGTGGTGGTGCAAGAACAACTGGTCCCACCATAAGAATCACAGGCATCACTTTAGACCAAGGCTCCCCCTGAAAGGAGGACTGTGACACCGAAGAGGACAAGAAATATGACTGGGACTCAAAGAAGGTGACATCCACAGACACAACTACTTACGAGAAGGAGGGTGATGACACTTAAACCCCTTCTGAATAGGAGAACACATTTGAGGAAGGGTCCAACTTACCACGAATAGTAGAGTGATTGTGGACAAAACAGACAGCCAAATATTTTGAGAAAAATAGAAAACAAGAACTCGGAACCTAGAAACACTTGAAGGGGAGTTTGTTTTTGCAAGACTTGGGTAGGATGCCGATTAATAAGATGGCTAGTGGTGAGAACAGCATCTCCCCAGTAGGACTGAGGCACACTCATAGAAAAATACATGCACCAAGCCATATCAAGAAGATGACGATTCTTGCGTTCTGCTATCCCATTTTGTTAAGGGATATTGTTGCAAGAGGTCTGGTGGATAATGCCATAAACAGAAAAATATTGTCCTAACCCATAACCTATGTATTCACCCCCATTATCAAAACGAAAGATTTTGACAGTGGCCCCAAATTGAGTACAAATCATCTTATGAAAAGTGTGGAATACAGAGAAAACCTCACTCTTATCTTTCAGGAGATACACCCAAGTAGTACGAGAAAAATCATCAATAAATGTAACAAACCATCGATGACGTTTCACAAACATAACACGAGATGGACCCTAGACATCAGAGTGTATTAATGAAAAAGGAACTAAATTTTTATTAAAACTGGGAGTAAAAGAGGCTCTGTGTTGTTTTCCAAGTTAACAAGACTCACAAAGAAACTTAGACACATTACAGTTTGCAAAAACAGATAGAAATAAATACTTAAGTAATAAAAAGAAAGATGTCCAAGACACCGATGCCATAACTATAAATCATCTTTGGTAGTAGGACTTGTGGTGGAAGAATGAGCAAGTATGTCCGATTGATTCAGGAAGTAGAGACCATTTTCTGCACTATCACTGGCAATCGTTCTCCTCGTGAAAAGGTCCTGAAAAAGATAATAATTAGGAAAAAAAGTCACGCCACAATTCAAATCCTTTGTAATACGACTTGAGGATAACAGGTTAACAAAAAAAATAGGAGCATGGAGAACAGAAGAGAGAGGTATGATAAGAGTGACATAGACTAAACCTTTCCCAGAAATAAAAGAAATAGTACCATTTGCAATCCTAACTTTGTCCTGATCTGAAAAGAGCTTATAAGCAGAGAAAATGTCAGAGGATCCAGACATATGATCTGAGGCAACAGAAACAATAATCCAGTGCAAAGACTTATGAGAAAGGAAAATGCGAGGAAAAGAAGTTAGGTTACCTTAAGCGGGCAAACAACGAGGAAGATGTACTGAGAGCAGTAGAAGATCGGCAGTCCAGCAAGTGACGCAGAACATCCTCAAGCTCACGAGTAGTTATGCCGGAGAGACCATCAGAAGCCTAGCCAACGAAAGCGGAAGAAGAATCAAGTGTATCAGCGACACTAGATTGATGAGCTCGTGGTTAAGAGCCACGTCCTCTAGACTGGCTTAACCGACCTCCTCTAGAACTAGACCAATCACCTCAACCCCCGGATAGAGTCCCATGAAGCTTCTAACACGTCTCACGAGTATTCCACGGCTTGCAACAGTAATCACGGAATATACTCCTTGGTTGCAAACAGAGGGTTGGGAGTCAGGCTGAGACCATCTTGAGGGGTAGACAATAATGCTGAGCGATTAGTAGAAACAGGTGACATCATAGCAGACCGGCAACTCTCCTCATTCTGTACATAGGTGAATGCCTTCTGAAGTAAAAGAAGAGTGTCCATACCCAGAATCCAACTTCGAACAAGATCATACTCCGCATTGAGACCTGTCAGAAACTTGACGACCTCTTCCTGTGTAATGAACTTCTTGTACTTGACTGAATCAACAGTGCAAACAGGCTTATAGTCTTGTAGGTGATCAAGGCGTTTCAAGCCATTGGTGAGGAAGGTGAAGTACTGGAAGAACAGCCTGCTCCCTCTAAACAGAGCTCTCAATAGAACGACACAACTCGAATGCCTGTGATAAGTTCCCTTTGCAAGAATAGGTGGCAGCTACAACATCCCAAATATCCTGGGCAGACTCCATAGACAAGTAGCCCTCGCCAATTTCTGGTACTATCGAATGAATAAGCCAACTCATAATTAAAGAGTTGGTAATCTCCCATTGGTCATAACCTGGGACAATGGTGCTGGATGCCTGTATTCTGCCATCAACATACCCCATCTTCCTTCTACTCTTCAAAAAAATAGTCAAACTCTGCGACCATGCTAAATAGTTCTGACCATTAAATAGAGAGGTGGTGATTTTAAGACTAGGATTGGAGTTATTAGTCATGTAGTAGGTAGAATAGAACTCTCACTCCTAGGTGTCTTAGTGCCAATCACAAACCCGGAAGGTGGTGGTGGTGGAAGGAAAGACACAACTACCACTATGAAAGCATAAAGAATTAAGAACTCATAGAGAGAATTTTTTGTTTTGTTTTTTTTAAAAAAAAAAAGAAAAAAAAAAGAAACGAAGAAACATAGATTATTGTTTAAAGAAACAGAAAGACGACAACAGAGGGAGACGATCAAATAGACAATACCAGAGGCTGTCGCATGAAGCCAAAGAAAGCATAAGCGCTGTCGGCTGGGTTAGAGAGATTGTCCGTGGCAGTCGGTCAGGCAAGACAAGCCTTCACTAGTGGTCGACTAGGCCAGGAGGCCTATCAGCAAAGACTAACAAGAGACCAGGATGGGCCTTCGGTGAGGATTTCCCAACCCAGGTGATTTTTGAACCCTAGGGTGATCTGCGGTGCTGATTTCGACCAACCAGAGTGAGAAAAGAACCCTAGACTGTCATCAACCCACCTTGAAACTTGGGTCCTTCTCGGCTTAAGCCGAAACCCCTCAGGGTGGAGTCGGCTTGAGCCGACAAAGAGAGAACCTGTCGGCTGCTGAAGTGGTGGTCCTTGGTTGTGTGGGTTGTCTCCGGCTGATGGCTGGTGGCTTTGGTGGGTAACAGGAACTGTATGGGTAGATGGGTTTAGGTTTTAGGGCTATGCTATAATACCATGATAATTTTAGAGAATACCAAGATTAGGGAATGATTGTGATATTATCCCCTTTTCATGTTAATGAAGATTAATAATTATAAGGGAGCCCTAAGGCATAGAATAACTATAATCGAATAATAACCCAACTAATAATATACTATTCTAACAATATATATATATATATATATTTGTGAATAACTTTTCTCAAAAGATGAGCCTAATTACACTAAAAAGAAGTGAAAATATTTATAATGCACAATGAAAATATAAACATAATAAGAAGAAGAAAAAACAAGTGGTAAAAAAATTACATTTTATAAAAAAGAGGTGAAGAAAGAAAGTTTGTGAATTTTTTTTTTTTTTTCAATCTCTAAAGTACATAAAAAAAAGGGAAAAAAATGGCTGGAGAGTTGAGTAAGCAAAGAGAGGGAGAGGGAGAGGGAGAGGGAGAGGGAGATGCTCAAACTCTGATGGCATTACATTCATTCTCAAGTTTTCCGAAATTGCTACAATGTTAAAATGTCTATTGACATAATTTGTTTCATATGTACTCTAAAATGCCTATGGCACATTTTTATTTCATATGTACCTTGTCTAAAATAGGTATTTAGCAAAAATAATTAAATGAATAACAAATAAACACAAACAACATAATGGAGCTTAAAAATTGGTTCTGATAGGATTACGATCAAGATTGGGATTCCATGATCAAACAAGATCCAACCACTAATATGAAAGATCCTACCAAGGGTTTTCCTACATGAATTTGTAGGACAATGAGATTCAATCAAAATTTTAACAGCCAGTGAGTAACAAATGATCACAAGGTTTAAAGGTGCTTGTTCTAGTCTTTGTTAATTAATAACAAAATTCAGGCTCTGGCTCAGTTAAAATCTTTGCATTGTTAGCATTAGCACTCAGCTTTGCTCAGCTTATAATTTTGAAATATTATTTGCTTTGGGAAGAAGTTAATGTAACATAACAAATGTAACTAGTTCTAAAAAGCACCCATGGTATTGGCCGATTCATTTCACTTTCTGCTTCTAGCAAGTAGAAGCATAACATACTTAAAAAATCACCACTTTCAAAATTTTGTATATAGCAAGAAATTGTAGTAAGAAAATCAACTCAACATTGTCAAGTGAAGGTGTGTGCCCTCAAGTTTGGAACTGTACCCTAGCCTAAATCATTGATCAAGTACTCGTCAGTGATAAAAGCTAATAGGAATTTACAGTCACAAAATAACAGCTACTTACTAACCTCATCAGAGCACTGTTGACTACTAGTCAAGTACTCAGTTATGCATCTATTGGAGATGATTCTTAGTATTTTTATGTTGTCAATGCTTACTTAAGGAGAGAAAATGAGTAAACTTAGTGTAGATAAAAACCTTGCAACACAGACACGTGATGTTCGAGTGTCACCCGCCGAATATGAAGCATTTCCAGTGCCTTTTCGTAATGTCCAACAGCCAAACCATAATTAAAAATAGCCTCCTCAAGTTCCTGCATGAAGAACATGTCTAAGACACAAAAAATGTTCTGACGCAAAATAACTACCTCTTGTTAGTGACAATATTCAGCAGGGTAGAAATAACTACCTCTTGTTTAAGCATCAGTATGAGCACTTTGTAAGCAAAATAATTACTGGTAGGGAAATGGAGTTTATATGCTAGTAGTTACGAAAGTTAGAAGGCAAAGATAGTGCGCTTCAAGCCCCTTACATGACTCAAACCCAGCTTTGCTGTCTGATCACCAACTGGGATGGCCAATTAAGTATGGCAGATTCTTTTTCTTTCTCTGGTGGCTAGCTAGCTAACACTTTTGAGTAAGTAATTTTTTAAGCACTAAAAAAAGTTTTCCCAACATCAGTTCATGGAATCTATTGTTGATACAAGTAAACAAACTACATTTGTTCATCCAAGCCATGGGTTGTAACTGTATTTTCACATGAGAAGCAACAACGAAATAAGATTATTTTTGTACCTTCTGATCATTCCTGACTGATGCCACTAAGTCTTCTAAATCCTTAGGACCTGATGAGTCCTGAAGGAGCAAGATCTTTCCATCTGAAAATTGACCACGTATACCATCATGCTTCCCTTTTGGAGTCTTAAGAGCAGATGAGTCCTCAAGCAGAAAGACCTTTCCATCTGTATACTGAGGTTGGATACTTTCAGGATCCACTTTTGGAGCTTCCAGAACACGAACCTACATATAAGCTAAATTATTGAGACTGAACTATAAATAAATAGATAAAAAAAATTGCTCAAAGTTTCGGTACCTCGATCGTCAAATGGAGCTCTGGGTGACGTGAATGAGCAGCTTCAAGGCAGACTAACCCTTCCTTTTGTGGGAGGGAAATAGCACGAACTATGCACCGGCCATAATGGAAACTGTATCTCACTGAATCATCGGTATCCAAGGACTCTGACTTAATCATGAGCATATGGGATTGGCCTTGTAACTCTTCATCATGGATAGTTTCATCCACATCACCATCAGAGTTAATGATTTCAAAGACCAAGTTTTCCAGTAGAGCTCCAGCAGTGCAAAATTCAGGGACCTGATTATTATGGAAAGCAAACAAATACAATGCAGGTTTGAGTAATTTCAGGTAATTATAAAAATTGAAAGGAGAAAGAAAATGAAAAAAGAGTCAAAGAATTACAAACCCTGGATGCAACTCTGAGCTCTCTCTTCTCAGTTTGAAACTCTTTCTTGAAGATTATTTCGTTGCCCAGTAAAACAGAAAGGGACACTATGAAAAAGGTTATCAAAATCAGTCTATCAGAGAAAATATTGACGTGCAAATAGTAAATAAACAAAAAAATCCAGCTTGAATTTTTTTAAATATTAGATGTTGTGATCTGTTGAATCAAACGGAGCTTAATATTACTCATTCACATTAACACTGGTACAAAAGATCTTTCAATATCATATATAATATTTTCTTGGGTTATAATATTTTAGGGTAAATAACACTTCCACCCTTACAATGTGTTATTTCTAAGTTAGTCCTTAAAGAAAATATTCTTCCACCTTGGTCCTTAAATTATTTTCCACTTCCCATCCAATCATCAACTCCCATCATGGTTAAGCGGAAATTTAAGAATTTCAAAAATTAATCTCACTTTGTTCATTAAAATAATTAAGTTTTCACACATTAAGGTTTTGCCACTTTGCTCCCCAAACCCAAACTCAACCTAATCTCAAAACCACCTCCACTCCCAAATCCATCCAATCTCGAAAACTAACTTTTATATCAAACAGATGAAAATAAAAAATTACAATGGGTAAGTGTCATTCGAAGAGCAAAGAGGCTGCAAATCGAAATCTAGAGGCTAGAGAAAGAGATTAGGTTGTGAGTTAAGAGAGAAGAGGTGGCTAGTTGTGAGGATGGGGTGAGGGAACGAAGGTGGTTGGTTGACTAGGGTAGGAAGGTGTATAGAGGAGGGAAGAGAAGGGGAAAGTGAAGAAGTGGAGGTTCAACTATTGTAGGACAACATTTAAGAATGGTGTGACAAAATGTAATTATGAGAAACTTTTTTTTTTTTTTTTATGACCATTTTTTGGGAATAGGGGATTAGAGTGAAAAAATCTTTAAAAAATGAACCATACTTTAGTGGGGATGAATGTGAAATTTACCCTAATAATTTATGACATTAAAATTCCCATGCTATATGGATTGTTAAACAAGCCCGATTCAATTCTGTACAAGATTAATATTGCAAGGAAGCACAAAAAGGAGAAGGTCCTTGCCTTTTCTTCCATAGCCCCCTGTGACCTTCAAGAGGCCACTAAGGTCAATACACCCATGCACATCTACCTACATTTGAAAAGTTGCCGATGAGAAAATTCAAGTTGCACAACACAATCAAACTCAAGATGAATGGAAAGAATAATAAAAATCAATAAATAACCTTTTCTCAGTGTCAAGTATAAACTAAAGCAAACTAAGGTAAGTTTGGGAACTCTCTATAATAGCCAAAAAGTCAAAAAGTTGCTAAAAAGGCCAAGAAGCCAAAGAACTAGACAAAAAAGTCAAAGATTCCCTTTCTTCACTACTTTTTACATGTTTTTTCGTAAAAAGTCAAAAAATCACAAACATACTAGTGTTTTTCATCTCATATTTTAGCCAAAAAGTTACTAAAATAGCATATTCCCAGACCAAGTATAAGTGTTATGTCTCAATCAAACAGGGTCAAGTACATGATTTTTTTTCGTCATTCTACTATGTCAAGGGCTATTAAATAAATTCATTTCTTTTGTTACTATCGCCTCTCATGTTAGTTTACATCCCCTCACCCTAACATTTCCATTTAGGGTGATCATGTCATTGTTCTTTACTGTTACATCTATAGGTCTTCATTGTATATAGCCAAATCACCGTAGCATTCTTTAATTAGTGTTATTCTTTTCATTTCATGAATATATTTATTTCTAAGTCTATCTTTCCTAATCTTATTTCTCATCTTAGCTACACACATTTTATAAAAGTGTTGGTTCTTGGTTACCAAACATTTTGTCTTGTAAAGCATCATTGGTCTTATAGATGTTCTATAAATTTTCATTTAATTTTTTTGATATTCTTCAATCACATAATATATGCCAAACACTCTACTCCACTTGAACAAACCTACTTCAATTCTATCAATTACCTCATCTGAATAGAACATGAGCACTCCTAGAGGACTCAAACCCACAATTGCCTAATTAACATTCAAATCATATACAAATGGAAATTGAGAACCATGAGAGGTTATTCCTACTGCAAAAAGTCTAAATTGTCTTCACAAGTTAATTAACAGGAAGACGAAGACACCATGAAATTGAAAATAAATAAATAAAAATAAAAATAAAATAAATTCAACTGTGAAAAAGAGCCCAACTTTTTTAAATAATAAACATATATGGAGATAAGTACTTGTTTGGGTGGATAGGACTAGGAGGAATATAGACAAGCTTATGCCTTTTGTTCATGTCATCTCACCACAATGTTAGTGAGAAGGAAATATGATAGCTCAAGATATTAAGTCATGCTTTATGTTAAATTTATTTTACAAATGTATTTATTAATACTTAATCTCATCTAAATACTACTAAAATTTCTAAATGAACTTCACAAAAACATATATTGCCATAATTGCGAGTTTACAACACAATCTCTGGCATACTACTATCCTCCCTCGCTTCCCTCCAAAAGATCAATAAACAAATGGACTAAAAAAATGAAAAAAAAAAAAAAAGAAACCTTCACCTGCATTTGTTCATGATAATTTGCATTATTGTTGCTTTAGAAGGTATTTTTCTACATCCGATTTATAAAATAAGGCATATTAGAAATTTTGGATAGATTCCAAAGTAATGATACTATAGAATGATTCCTAATTAACACATCATGATTATATTAACCCTAATTACTTGCCATTGCTACCACCATGCCACCATTGTTCTAACCACTAATGTCATTGTCACCACCAAACTATTAATTAGCATCTCCATAGCACTCCATGATGTAGTTAGAACTAGTATGGTTGCTATGTTTAGCACCATAAGAGTTAGTTGGGTCTTTCATCCCATAAATAGGTGGTTAGGCCACTCTAGTATTCAGTTTATGATATTTTGATATTGAATATTTCAGAGCTTGAGAGCTCTTGTACCCGTTTTGCAATTTTCTATCTCTAATGAAATCTCTTTCCTAAATTGGTTCTGACTTCAACCCCATTAACCCATTGTCAGCACCAGTAAGCCTAAGCCAATATTATCATCACTTAAATGCATGCCTTATTGTCTAAATTGCGTTTGTTTTAGTTGTAAGAAGCAACACTAACAAAAATAGTGAAAAGTCTAATAAATTGCTCAGTATGTGGACTTTCCCAAACAATAATTATTGTGCGTACACCAGGATGTCATAATATAATGAGGCTACAAGTTGTAGAGTAGCACTCACCTTACGAATAGGGCCTAGATGATCTTGAAAACAAAATCCATCCACATTCAACACAATTTCCAAGCACCCTTCGACATGGTTACCATATGCATCAAACATCTAAAGAATCACATTGAAAATATATGTTAGCTAATGCAATAAAGATTAAAAATGCTATTCCCACACAAGTATTTAAGCATCAAAATTATCAAACGATGAATGAGAGAAGCACAAGCAATGATAAGTTGCATAAAAAAACATGGATACAGAACTAAGAGATATAAATGATGAAAAGCATCCACCAAGTATACAGTTGGTGCATCATTTACAAACAATGTTTTTGAATCTTGTATCATTCATTTTATTTTTCTCATATTAAGTACAGCATTATTTTTGTTTATCACATGACAAAATTCAATTTTCTTGACAAATTTAAAATAGAAAAATGTGTGAATTGCTTTTTCTGTTACCTAGAATCGAAGAGAATAAAACAAGGAAGCTTAGTATAATTTTCATGATAAACCTAAAACAAAAGTAAACATTCCTAGTCTAACAGAAAAAACGAGTATTAATAAATGCACAACATCAATAAATATCACATCTATTCAAGCAGATCGAAAACGCTTCCAATTAAATGACTTAATAAACTACCTTGACTATAAAAAAATACTTAAATAGAGGTAGATAAAGATAAATTCATACTTCATCCATTTGGGAAGGCCCCTTGGTGATTCCACACACATAACAAAGAAATGGCACATTACAAGAGAAAGCAAACCTATTGTAAGTTAGTTTGCTTTTGCCCTAGATGGTATGTTACATTTCCATTGCACAAAAAAAAAAAAAAAAATTGTAAAATAATTAGGATACCTTGTCAAAAAAGACCAACTTAAATGAGGAAATGGGATGTCTAAATAATGCGAGGACCACAAGCCCTTTTGAAAACATGCCAACAGTACCTAAATTTTCAAGATGTTTTGAATTTATGTGTTGGTCTCAAATGTCTATAACTTTCAAGTTTTGATCTACTATTTCAAAAGCCAAAAAAAATAATGTATAAAGAGAAATAGAGAATTGTATTATTGATTGATATATATTGATTTCTATTACAATGATTCATGATTCCTATATATAGAAGAGGGTGAGTGTGTAGTAGGTAAGGAGTAGGTGAAGTGGAGGTGGTAGTGGTGTAGTAGGTTAGGTTTAGTGGAGTAGGTGAGGTGGTAGTGGTGTAGTGGGTTAGGTTTAGTGGAGTAGGTTTAAGTGGGTGAAGTAGGTGGAGAGTAGGTGGATTTTAACAAATAAATAACTCATATACACCACAAACACTATCAGATTCTAAACACAATTTGGAGTCTTTACAATGAAGGAACGAAAAGGCAGTGTTTAATTTTAACTATAAGGAAATAGCACTAGAGGAGACTCAACTATTATTTGATCTGATGTAGGACATCATGTGCTTGGCATATGACTAGTTAGTGTGTGGTTAATTGAAAGCCTAGATCTACAGAACTAGTAACCATTTTGTAACCAACTTTGATGTATGAACATTATTGTTTAGAGATATTCTCTCTCTAGAACCCTAGGGTTCTTTTCTCTCACAATTCTCTCTCTTGTTCTTGATTGGACCCATCTTTTTGGTATCAGAGCAACAGATTTGGCTCCTAATCTTCCAGATTTTGAGTGGAATCATGAACTAAAACACTGACCTGGTTCAAGCCCAATCTTGGGTTTTCATCAAATCAAGTTTTATTCTTGGATCCCTTTGTTGATCAAATTCGCCAGACTTCATAGTTGATTATGGACTTGTTGTCTTTGCAGTTCGATTTCAACTCTTGTTGTCTTCGTTGTTTCAGTGGTCTACTTTGAAGATGAGCCATACCTCAAATTCCGACTTTGATCTGTCCTTGTGAACTAATTTCGCAAATCGAAATTAGATATGAGGTGTTTGTCTTGGATTGAAATCAGAGATTCATTGCACGACTGAGGACGAAACTTCTGATTGAAGACATGGTGCTGTTCATGACCCATCACAAGTCCTGAAGCCTAGGGTTTGAAGCTATGAGTCGACTTTGAGTCTTGACCCTAGCTTCGATGTCACAGTTCAAGTCTTGGCCTAGTCTCGGATTTGACTTCGGCTCTTGGTTCGTAGTTCACGATCTAATTTTATCCCTGACTTGAAGCTCTTAGTTCGTAAATCCTCAAGAACTCTCATGGGCAAATCAAAATCAGGTTTGGAAGGTCGCGAGCCCTGTTCGAAGTGGGTCTCCAACTCTCAGTTGAATGTTGTTCACAGGTACTCCCAATTTAACTCTCAATGCATCCAATTCATCTGATTCTTGATTTAAATCTTGAACCCATATCTGGGTTTGGATTTGATTGGATCATTTTGCTTCTATTGTGTTGGGATTTGAATTGTTTGAACTATTGCACTATTTGGACTGTTTGGGTTGTTCATTATTATACTTCGCACATTTGGGGTTTTCCAATGACTCAACGAGGTCGTGGTCGTAAGGATGTCCATGTTAGGGCTTATGCTCAAAATTTAGGTGATAATGCCAAGGGTAATCCTCTAGTTGGAAGGGATAATGGGGTTCGATATCAAGGAGATGAGATCGTTGAGATGAGACGGCAAACTGCCACATTAACCGAGATGGTGCAACGTCTCCTACCTCCTGTCGAAGGTAGTAATGGTTCCAAGGATCATCAACTTGATGATTCCTTCGATGCTCCGCCTAGGCGTAGAGCACATTCAAAGGTTTGATTCTAAATGGAATGACACCATCAAGAATTTAAAGTATCTCAAATTCCATGGAAGCTACAATCTGGATGTGTTCGAGGAATGGTTGAAGACAATTGAGTCATTTGGAATGTTCTAATGTGACAGAAGTAAGGAAGGTGAAATTAGTCACTCAAAGCCTCAAAGGTCATGCCTCCGATTGGTGGAAACAATTTGTAGAAATTTAATGTATAAAGAGAAATAGAGAATTCTATTATTGATTGATATTTGTTGTGTTTACAATGAGTCCTATATATAGAAGATTAGAGGAGGTAGGTATGTAGTAGGTAAGGAGTAGGTGAAGTGGAGGTGGTAGTGGTGTAGTGGGTTAGGTTTAGTGGAGTAGGTGAGGTGGTAGTGGTGTAGTGGGTTAGGTTTAGTGGAGTAGGTTTAAGTGGGTGAAGTAAGTGGAGAGTAGGTGAATTTTAACAGCCCCCCGCAAACTCAAGGGGGATAGGAACTAACCAACTTGAGTTTGGAGAGAGTAACAAAACAAGAAAATACATAAAAATAAAAGAGGATAAGAGACACTGTATGGTCGTGTCAGACCATTGGTGAAGACACTGGATGATGGTGTCATAACGTTGTAAAGGACACTGTATGGGGGTGTCATAACCATGTAGAGGAAACTGTATGGTGGTGTCATAACGGTGTAGAGGACACTGGATGGCGGTGTCAGACCGATGTAGAAGACAGTTTATGGGGTCATGTCGGACCGATGTAGAAGACAGTTTATGGGGTCATGTCGGACCGATGTAGAAGACAGTTTATGGGGTCATGTCGGACCGATGTAGAAGACAGTTTATGGGGTCATGTCGGACCGATGTAGAAGACAGTTTATGGGGTCATGTCGGACCGATGTAGAAGACAGTTTATGGGGTCATGTCGGACCGATGTAGAAGACAGTTTATGGGGTCATGTCGGACCGATGTAGAAGACAGTTTATGGGGTCATGTCGGACCGATGTAGAAGACAGTTTATGGGGTCATGTCGGACCGATGTAGAAGACAGTTTATGGGGTCATGTCGGACCGATGTAGAAGACAGTTTATGGGGTCATGTCGGACCGATGTAGAAGACAGTTTATGGGGTCATGTCGGACCGATGTAGAAGACAGTTTATGGGGTCATGTCGGACCGATGTAGAAGACAGTTTATGGGGTCATGTCGGACCGATGTAGAAGACAGTTTATGGGGTCATGTCGGACCGATGTAGAAGACAGTTTATGGGGTCATGTCGGACCGATGTAGAAGACAGTTTATGGGGTCATGTCGGACCGATGTAGAAGACAGTTTATGGGGTCATGTCGGACCGATGTAGAAGACAGTTTATGGGGTCATGTCGGACCGATGTAGAAGACAGTTTATGGGGTCATGTCGGACCGATGTAGAAGACAGTTTATGGGGTCATGTCGGACCGATGTAGAAGACAGTTTATGGGGTCATGTCGGACCGATGTAGAAGACAGTTTATGGGGTCATGTCGGACCGATGTAGAAGACAGTTTATGGGGTCATGTCGGACCGATGTAGAAGACAGTTTATGGGGTCATGTCGGACCGATGTAGAAGACAGTTTATGGGGTCATGTCGGACCGATGTAGAAGACAGTTTATGGGGTCATGTCGGACCGATGTAGAAGACAGTTTATGGGGTCATGTCGGACCGATGTAGAAGACAGTTTATGGGGTCATGTCGGACAAATTTAATGTATAAAGAGAAATAGAGAATTGTATTATTGATTTATATTTGTTGTGTTTACAATGAGTCCTATATATAGAAGATTAGAGGAGGTAGGTATGTAGTAGGTAAGGAGTAGGTGAAGTGGAGGTGGTAGTGGTGTAGTGGGTTAGGTTTAGTGGAGTAGGTGAGGTGGTAGTGGTGTAGTGGGTTAGGTTTAGTGGAGTAGGTTTAAGTGGGTGAAGTAAGTGGAGAGTAGGTGAATTTTAACACAATTACAAGTTGGCAGGCAAAGAAAAGGCCAAGAAAAGGTTAGAGAGTGGAGGATGATGAGACAAAAGCTCAAGGAACACTTTTTGCCTTCTACTCATGTGCCAACTATGTTGGTTGCGCAGCAACAAAAGAAAAGCATTTCAAGTTCTGGACATCAATACCAAAGAGACTTTGTAATCGGACAACTATCCTATGACTATGTCCAAGTCAGTTACTCAACTAGTGTTGTAGTGCAAGAGATTTTTGGTGACAAACATATCATCACAAGATGCTCTTTAGTGGTGAGGTGGTTGAACCAAGATATGAGGAGGAAGAAGCTTCAATCTTTGGTGAAGAAGACATGGAGGAAAATTGTAGCCAAGAACAAAATTGTGGTCAAGCTCTTTTCGTTTA